CCTACGTCAACTACCCGATACTTGTTGAGAGGTGGAACAATTTCCAGAGAGTGATCTTCACTGAGTACAAGCAAACGAAGAGAATCCGAGCACAAGTGCTAGGACTCAAGGTCACGAAAGGTGAGTTGGAACACATCATGAACAACTTCAATGATGGATTGACCTCTAGACTTGATCGACAAACACTGAGGTTGGAGATCGGCACAGCAGATCGAGAGATTTGGCTTTGGCCGGTGGCAATCCGTGCCCCTATGGCGCATTCAAGAGTTCAAGGCGGTGTGCACATCGAAGACAAGAAGACTTCCTATCAGATGAACCCTGGAGTAGGATACACTCTTGGAGGAGGATTTCATTGCACCACATTTGACAACATCGCTCAAATCTTCAGAGAAGGACTACGTCCCGGAGGAGGAGGCGACCGCATCAATACGTTCTTCGTGCCATTCGCGCCGTGGGATGTGAGAAGTCAAATGGTGCTGAGATTCAGGAAGATTGATCAAACTGATCTTGTCTACATCTACATCACGTACGATTCCATCGCCAAGTTCTCCCCTCGATTGTCAGCAGACGGACACATTTTGGTCCAAGAAACAATACCATTCGAATCATTCGATGCAGTATGGTATTACGACTGGAAAGAAAAGGACTATTACCGTCTCATGATCACGAAGGGAAGAGATGAACTTGTTCTTTCTGTGCAAGGTGCAAAGAGGGTGGCCACCATTGAACGATTTGACAAGCTCATTGGAAACATTGTGCCTGAAGAATCATCACCCGATCTGGACGAACTTCGAAAACTTGTCGATATCAGGACCGGTCACTTCAGTCATACTCACAGATTGTTCCCTGGACATCCGGATTGGAATGATACAATATCGTTGTTGGCAGTCACTCATCACCCTAGCAAAGAGGACCATCGACTATGCCCCGCATGTCTGATGGAGACCCCTGCACCATTATCGATTTGTGTAATGTGCAAAGGATTTTTGGTGAGTCATGGATGGAGGAAACGAATCAAGATCACCGTGGCTACAGTACCAAGTGCCGAATCACATCATCGAGAAGAAGATCTCAAAGACCATGTCAAGAAAGCATGGGAGGAGGTGAAGATCGATTTGACAGGTGACGATGATGACGACGAGGTGATGCCAGATGATGATGATGTCACCATGAAGAGTCCAGAACAAGAAACTCAACCAGAAGAAAGAGATGATGATCAAGCCTCGAAGAAGGGCGACATCAATGATGAGAAAAGAGACTTCAGAGAACAAGATGAGGTCGACGAATATCTCAATCAAGAAGGAAAACCGACCGATGAGAACGACGATGATGAGATAGCGGTCGATGAAATTAACATAGAAGAGTACGAGGCTGGAGAAGCTCGTGATGCAGTGATTGAGTACCCCAAGTGGATGCAGCGGATTGAGTTTGGATCAAAGGTCCTGCCGATCGAACCTTGCACAATTGGAGATGCTCAGCCAGAATTCATCAAGATCCTCCTGTTGCAGATTGGATTACATATCGTCAGAATCTACAGACTATTCCAACGGAACTTCTGTGGAGACATCGAGACGGCATGGAAACATTTTCAACAGAACCAGAAATTCAGGATGGACCTGGACTCAAGAACTCCTTACCTGGGCGAGGATGAAAATGGTGAACTCATTGAACCAACTGCACAACAGATGAAAGAGCTCTACAAAGAGATCGGCCGACCAAATCAAAAGGACGACATCGGAGAAGAGGGATTCGTCAATGCATACTATGGGGCAGTGGTACTCAAAAGACTTCTCATATATACCCTTGAATGTGGCTACACGTATGATGACTTGCAAAACATATTCTTTGATGAGGAGATGGAGAAGCTGTCGAAACGTGACACCACAATGGATGAGATGAGAAAGACCACAGCGGCCCGCGACGCCCTTGACCGACAAGACGTCATGGTCAGAAGAATCATTGCAGGTGCATATAGGGTAAATGCTGTTTATTTCTTCAGGAACGTTGACTTTCAAGACACAATCACACTGAATCCAGTTGACATTGTGTGTGCTCTTCGTCCACCACTTCGAAGAATATCACTTTTACACCTGATCCTTCAGAATGGCCGACAATTGCCACGACCTCTACTCCAAAAGCTATATGATGCGATCGATGACTACAATCACATTAAGCAACGGGAAGATCAACGACCAAGGTGGGGCATCCACTTGTCTGAAGCTCACATACTTGCGATTGCTGATACCCCGACTCCTGCTGATCGTGAACGTGCTAACCCAGCCGCTGGCAAGTCGAAAGCAGCCCCGAAAGCAGCACCAACACTGGGAAGAGTGTCAAAAGCGAAAGCATCATCATCAGCAACATGGAGAACAGTTGACACCGCTCCTCCGCCAAAACAAGCTCCAGTGACCCCGCCAAAGAAGGGTGGAAAAGACCAAGGAAAAGGTGGAAAATCTTATTCACACCGTGGCGGAGACTGGAACCAACAGGGATACTATGGATGGGGATATAGATGATTAAGCGATCTGACCTCTGCATAGGTCCTGATTGAACCTGGCGATGCGAGGATGCAATCATTGCTCGAGATTTACCTCTACTTCATTTTGAATGATTTCTGAGAGGACTCTGAGCCGGCTAATTTAGAACCACACATTTTTTTTGAACATCATTGCATGAGACGCTGAGTTTCTACAGCGGTCTACATCTCAACCGACGAAGGAACGGGAGGGTAAACTTCTAGTTCCATAGTCAACTTTGTGTTTTGATTTCTTTAATTCACATGCTTGAGTGAGACTCCATGCTGGCTACGCCACATTGGATGAACCTCAATGCTAGACACCGACTACGTCGTGTCTACATGCACGTGAACAGAACCTTTATATTTTGGTAGAGATTGTAGCAAGCCGCCATGTAGATATGAAGTTCTGAACGGACTTTAGCTCTCCATAATTCAATAAATGAACAGCTGCGAGTGTAGTGGATCAATTTAAAGGACACTCCTTTGCGCGTAGCCAACAAAGTTGGCTATGCGTGGGGGGTGCGAATAGAGTGTAGGCTACGGACCAGTGTATATTATCACATAATTCGACACTCTAGGATCCAGTACCAAAGGGGCACTTCAAACTGGCCTCTTTGGCTCAAGACCCACTGCAGCACCAGAACAAAGAATTGCCATGCGGAAGCTGTTGCCCGTGTAACGTCATCATTGGAGCATTCATTGCAAACACAACCACTGGAACATAATCGGGTAAGTAATCCCCGGTTCGCAATCTATCTATCTATCTATCTATCTATCTATCTATCTATCTATCTCATCTATCTATCTATCTATCTATCTATCTCATCTGTCTATCTATCTATCTATCTATCTATCTGCCTATCTACCTATCTACCTATCTACCTACCTATCTATCTACCTATCTATCTATCTCTCTCTCTGTCTGTCTGTCTGTCTGTCTATCTACCTGTCTTTCTGCGAGCTTGAAAACCAAGCTATTCTGGGAGACTTCTTCAATTTTTGACTTTGACAACTTTAAAAACAAAGCAATTCTGCAAGACTTCCTTCAAAAGTGGAAAGTTGAGTGCAGCGCTGACGGCCTCGTACCAATGCGTTTTGCGATTTTTCCACTCCACCTGTCTAATGTACTGCGCCTGCCACGAAAAATTGATGCCAGGCCATACGAAGTGCTGCACCTGTCACGCAAAATCATCTTAGCACTACAGATCTTATGCTCCAAAATGCAACCCCTCTCAGGAAATCAGCGCCCTGACCTCCTAACATCTCTGATGAACATGTCTTTTGTATTGCGCCTGCCACGCGAAATGCATCTTTGAAGATCCTCTTCAAATGTCCCACGACTGCCATCTTTTTTGGAAATGCTACAAAACCCTCACGTTTTGCTCACTTTTGACAAGGTGCACAATCCCTTGCGCCTGCCAGGCGAAAGCACATCTGAACGTCCAAAAGTGCTCCGTACCCGTCAGTTTTTGACACTTCTGACCTCGAAATGTGCTTCGCGCCGCAATGGCGTGCACTTTTTCGACATCTCAACTTCCAAAAGTGGTCCGGAGCTGGTGTGTTTTGTACATTTAGACTTCGAAATGTGCTTCGCGCCACAACGGCATGCACTTTTTCGACATCTCAACTTCCAAGAATGATCCGCACCGGGTGTGTTTTGTGCATTTTGACTTGGAAATGCGCTTCCCGCCATAACGGCGTGCAACTTTTCATCTCATTTGGCCAGATGGCTCCGCACCCGCCGCTTTAGCGAGCCTATTCTTCGACCTTCCAGAGCCAACAATCATGGGAAAAACACAGTGTTTCGCGACTTTCCTACCTTTTCGCGCATCTGCATCTTCTTTCTTCTGACTCTTTCTCTTCTCTGATCTTCTCTCTTCTACTCTTCTGTTCTCTCTGACTCTTCCCATCTTTGCTTTTCACCTGTCCATATTGTCGGAAGTTTGACTTCTAAACTTCCTTCGATCATATCGAAGTAGGTGCCACGTGGTCACAGTGGAATCCCTGATCAAACAGCTTGATTCCTGTTACGACAGCCTTTTGTTGACATGTGGATCCGACAGATCCGACAGCCAGCCGAGAAAAGAAAATTGATTGTTTTCGTTCTGCCTGCATGACAGGGTCGGGCCTTACCCAATGGCTGTTTCAGTTAATGAATCGTTTTTGAAAGCACAAACCCAAAAGACCAAAAAATTTTCGGAATTCAAAACTCAAAACCTTTCTGCTTCCCCAAGTGATGTCACTATTTTGCCCTGCTGGATCACTTGATCGTTTTCCCAATTTTTTCTAAGAAGCATTGTCGAAACTCATGAACCATTGCCAGAGTTTCCAGACGATTGCCTGAGCATGTCTGGAAATTTTGTTTTTGGAGGCTTGTGGTTATGTTGAGTTGAAACAGTCATAACCTGATCGTAACCTTGATCTTATCCCTGCCTCAATATGTTTGTTGGTCGGTCGTCGCAAGCTTTGTGACTCACAGCCCCGGACCAGATGACGTCCCACGCCGCATCCAAGGTGGGAATGAACCAGCAGCATATGATATCCCAAAACCATGGCACAGCACATGAGATTGCGCAATTTTATATGAAAAGACGTCAAGCAGAGATATAATTTTATGATGGAAAAACAATGATTCAGTCCAAGGAGTATATAGTGAGTACTGGGTGGATTGCTGGTCATGTGGTCCTGTGCAAAAATGCGGCCCAGACGCATATGTTTACATGAGGCATGCAGATTTGCAAAAGCCGTCGGTACATGAGTATACACTGTTAAAACTCCTGCGCACCCACACTAACACAAACACGCATTGCATGTGCATATTTTCATATGTTCGGGCAAAATTTGAGAGGTAATTATACAAAAAAAACATTTCTGCCTTCCGTGTAGTTTATAATTGCAACAACTATGGTTTGACAGGGTTTATATAATGCGGTTTTTGATATTTTATATAACTTATAACTATGACATTTATGTGATATTTTCATCAGATTTAAACATTTTATAACCAGACGGTCTATAACCAAAGTTCGGGTTCAACCAACAAACATCACCGGAACATGACGCAGCCAGGAAAGCCTTCGATGGCCTGTCGATGGGAAGAGGTGTCGTCATCGTATATGAATTATTGGCGTTTTACACACAGAATCACACAAAATACAGAGTGGATAGATTTCTGTTGAAGCCTATTTTTTGTAAAATTGCATGTTTATCGATATTGGACTTCAATGTTTCTGCTTCAATCTCTGGGGTGAAAGTTCGCGAGGCCTCCAACGAGTGGATCGACTCTCTGAAGTTTGTAGAAGACACCGGATATGGCCGAGATCGATCAGGCGATGTGATGCTATAGGGATGTTAACCCCATCAAGGGAAATTGTTCGGATAGAATAGAATGATGGGGAATCCATTTAAAAAAATTGGTGGTGATCTGAAAAGATTAAGATTTCCTCACCTCATTGGTTTTCATTTTTTTTTCGGGCAAAATGATGGACTCCAAGATGGGACACCTAGAAACCCACCGCTACAACGCCGCAGCACGAGGCGTGTGGCCCACCTGGACAGTGAGAGCAGAGAGGCGGCTACCCGGTAGGCTATGGCAATTTTTGTAGATTCTATAGATGCCCCATGTATAGATGATTTGAGTGGTTTATGGTTGATATACCCATTCAAGTTGTTTTTTTTCATGATATGATTGATTTACCGATTTACCCATGACAACTGGTGGGTTTTCATGGTTCGCGTTGGCGGCCAGGCGGAGGATCACGGACGAGAAGTTGCAGCGGATCGTCCGCCATGTGGTGCCCCAAGTCATCACCTCAGCACTTGCTCCACCTGGGGAGATTTTCCAACAAAAATCCGAAATCATTGGAATTTCTGTGGATTTCTATGGCTTCCTAAAAACTTATAGAGTTCGATGGGTTCCTCTGAATTTCTATGGATTTCTATGGGTTCCTATGGATTTCTATGGATTCCTATCGATTTCTATGCATTTCTATGGGTTCCTCTGAATTTCTATGGGTTTCTATGGGTTCCTATGGATTCCTATCGATTTCTATGCATTTCTATGGGTTCCTATGGATTTCTATGGATTCCTTTGGATTCCTAGGGATTGCTCAGGATTTCTAAGGACCTCTATGGATTTCTAATGTCAAAAATGTAACATGATGGCAATTTCAAAGATCAACGATGGAAATCGCCAGAAAATGGGGATGGAATTTGATAATTTGAATTCGCCTGAAGGCAAAGGCAATTGTATGCTGTTCAACTAGTGAATGCGATATGTATTGCACACCTAGCGGCGTGGCAAATTCCAGAAAACTCAACAATTTTTCGACCGTTAATTTTTGCAGATTCTATCATTTGGAGTTATATATATATATGCCTCATTAAAACCATATTCTTCCAGATTCTATTACACCATTCTTTCAGATTCTGTCATTTGGAGATTTTAGGAGTCATCAAACATTCTTTTTTGGGTTTACCGCCATTGGACCACGGGACCATCAAGGTCAGGGACCTTCCTCCATGTCTTGTGGAACTCAATTTGGCCAACAACGACATTCGAGATGCTGGCAGCTTGGTTGTGGCAATGTGGCTACTGAATTTCAATATATAACTACTATTAACTATTCACATTTGGTGTATTTTTTGTATAATTTTTATGGGCTAATTTATGGCACTTCAGTGTTTCAAGCAAATGCTGGCAGTTTTTTTTTGGGGCTCCACTGTTGAAAGATACCGGATTCTGCGGATGTTTCCCAAACTTCCGAGCTGTTTGACAGCGGAGTTCCGGCAGACCCATCCATGACTTCCATTTGGGGATGTTTTTTTACAAACCATTTCTTGGTCATTTAGTGGCCAAGTACCTATTCAATTCATTGAGGAGTGAGTCAGATGTGCGATGCGCTGCGGCACGCCAATGTCCAACTACATATTTTACGCTTACAGAGGCGCGATTGATGCGATTTCTGCAGGTTCCAGCACCATCTCTCCCAGGGGTGCTGAATATCTCAGTCTACATGGGATGAGAATCCACTTTCATGAGGATTGATTGCCATGTCAGTAATTTGTTGGGTGATGATCAGGTATACCATTTTTATACATGTGTGATAATCCAGATGCAATCCATACATGATTTATTACTATTTAGTATATATGCTACTGTCCGCTACTTAGGTTTGCAGATAGTGATCATTCCAAACGATGACATTCTAGTCTATACAACCTTCTATCTTGTGATGATAATTCTCCAAATGATGATGATTATTGATCACCATGACCCCTGGATGATATTTGGATGATAGATATTCATAGATATTCATAGCTATTCATGAAATGCTATTTATGATATGTGTACTATGTGTACTTATCAGAAGTGTCATCGGGATGATTCATTCGATCCTTTTGTTGACTCCAGGAATCGCATCCAGTGTCAGGGAGCCGAAGCGCTGAGTCGTTTCGTCTCTCGGAGTCGGGTCCGGGGATCCCAGGGACGACGCTGGGACTCCAGGGACGACGCTGGGACGCTGGGACGGACATCAGCGACGCGGAAATCGGATGTTTCTTGGGGGACGCTGGGGTTTGGGGAATTGATGTTACAAAATGGTACGAATACATCTGAATACCCAACTTTGCCATTGAAAGCTGATTTGTACTTGTTATAAACATTGGGATTTTCATGGATTTTCCATAGGTATGTTGGTTTACCAGAGGGTAAGGAAGTTGTGCAACCAACTTTTGGGCCATTTTGGCTTTGGAATCCACGCCAATCTGGGTCGTGATGTACAATAGATATGAAAGAACATGAGATGGGGACACTCAAAGAAAACATTTGAAATGTCATTCAGATATCATAATCTGCCCTCATGATATGATCTTCAATATAGATATAGATGCAAGATTCAGATTGGATAAAAATCACCAGCCATCAGCAGCTACCCTCTGGTAAACTAACTAGCTATGGAAAATCACGATTTGGAATAGGCAAATCAACTTTTACAAAACCATTTTCAATCGCAAACTCGTAGTATCTCGTAGTCATTTCCAGAGGACAACAGCCAGCGGACAGGTGCCCTTGGAAGAGCTCCATCTGTCGCACAATTTGATCAGCTTTACCGAAGCCCTGCAGCTGATCCGCTCCGCCTGCCGACGAGAAGACTATGCCATGAAGAGTGCCGCTGCTGGGGACGGGTGGGAAGGGCAGTCGATAGCAAGGGAACATCCATGAACATCCGCATTTTTGAAGGGAAAACAGGTAAATCATCTAGAATTAGTTGTGAGTCACAGGCCAAGCTCGTATTTCGGCATTCCAGGCCAGAGATGTCAGATGTCCTACTCTTTTGTCGAGACCAGACCTACCTTGATATGAACAAGAGCTTCAATTTGGGTGTCCCAACCTCCATTCACCAGTCACCATCCATATCCACATGTGGCTGAGTGTTGCCGAGGAAAACCCTTGTGGCTGCGTTTGGAGCGTCAGCAAGTAAGATGGACCGACTTTGAACGATCTGAAGAACTTCAGATGGAACGCGTGAGAGAAATCGTCGACCCCTGGCTGCAAAAAGGTTGTTGAGAAAGACCGCGGATTTCCCGGTTGTTTGATTTATATGTTTGGTGGGAAGTGTGCTATTGTGATGAGCATTTGGGGGCGAGTAATTCAGGATTCAATGCTGGAGATCCTTTTATAAGCCAGCTAACCAACCTGTGTACAGTTATACAGTATATGTCGTTTTTTCCTAAATCTCTGTATGTATATAATATATATAATATGTATATACAGCACACACTTATCACTTACCTGTACTATCCACTGCTAGTCTTCTGGTACTGGTACTGAAGCTTAATTAAAGGCCCCTCTTGCACGTGCTCCGTTTGCACCTCCGTGATCTCCGTGCGGCCGAGACCAATATGACGGACGAGCTGCTTCACAATGCTCCTCCTGATCTGGAGGTGAACGGACCTTTGCTGTGCCTGGTGCGAAGAACAGGCGAGCTTTGGCCATTTTGGCCTAGCGGGCCTAGTGCAAGGGTATGCAATTTCGGGGTCTACGTCGGTCTCATTCATGATTCTGTGTGCATTCTGACTAGTCGTTGCGTAGAAGATTTTGTGCGGAAAATGAATCTTGAGGAGCATGCATGCCCATTTAAATGTGTACATGTGTCCTTGATTGTGTTTGCCCAAATATCGGCATGCTCTGGTAGTGTTGTGATTGTCTCAGCTGAGCAGCTGAGCAGCTGAGCAGCTGATTGATCGCTGCCAGGCAGGTGTTCTGCGAGGTATTGCGAGCACCAGCACAAGAGTGGACCCTTTGTCCATTTGCCTTACCTGTGGCAGCAAGGCCAGCCACAGCTAAACGACAGCTAAGATGTGGAACACTCACTGCCATTAAGTAGATCATTTTCCCAATTTCCACATCTTTTTGTGTGTTACCCGCTGTTGCCCTAGGGCCTATAGGGCCCCTAACTGGTGGAAACGAAATTTCCAGCTCACCCTTTGAGGTTCCCGCTACATCTCCGGCCCCGATGTGAACACGCGACCCGAAGATGTGCCACTGCCACCGGCACTGTGTGTGCCCGTTGTGGCGGCGTTGCGCCGCCCGCGACCGTGGCAGAAGTCTGCACCGCAAGTGATTTTCGTCGGGCTCCTCAGGCCTGACCAGTGGGAAAGGCAATGGTTTTATGGCCATTTCCATTGTGGAGCCAAGGAAAATGAAGAGATGCAAGTGATCAACAAGCCACCATATTGGTGACTTAGTGGCAGGGGAAGGGATTTTTGGTCTCATTTTGGTTCTTTATTTGTCCTTGTTAAATTGCATGGGACTTGGGGAAACAAAACCGAATGGAATATTGTATACTGGCTTGTCTGAATACAGTACCCATTCCAACCAAATTCCATCCCATGTTTGACAAATATATATATATATATATATATATACATACACACAAATATATAAATCACTTTCCCTTCAAACGGCCACCAGTTTGGGTACCGCCACCAGTGCCTAACCGATGACCTGTCGGAATGAGGAACTGCCGATGGACCCGCTCTGTCGAAGATCGGAAAGAAGACCGAGAGTGGATCACCCACGACCGACGAAGCTGGGAACAGAGTCTCAACTGCAGAAAAATGGCTTGATAAATGGGTTGAAAAATGGCTGAAACCACTGATGATTATGATGATTATCATCAAAATCATCATCATCATCATCATCATGATGACCAATCACCAATCACCAATCACCATCACCATCACCATCACCATCACCATCACCATCACCATCATACTACATCTAACGAATGATAAAGGAGTATTAGCGGGATGAAAGCTGCCAACCAGGAAACTAGCCGATTATATTTTCTAGATTGTTTGGAACGATAGCTGTGTACCTTTTGGGCAACATAACATGTCCATATATTTTCATATTTTGTTGGGGTTGATGGAAGTGAACGACACATTTAATGCTTTGATATGGGTTTTGCCTGAAGCCAGGGTACCTCTGGGTACCTTCAATTCCAATGGATTATATATATATATATATAAATATATTATATTACACACACATATATATATACTATGATCATTATCCAGATGAAATATGAGAAAAATTGGAGGGGTTTGGCAGCCAGGATCATCGGCTCGAATCAGCCTGAGTACCTGGATCTCTACATCGCCAGACGTAGCTCGGCTGGGCTGCAGGGCTAGTCCCAACAACCACTAGGTCTCTGTAGTTCTCAGTAGGTAAATGATAGACAATTTGGGAAAAAGTCATGAAAAATCATAGAAATTATAGAAAAGTCATGGAACATAACAATACATGGTATTACCAAACCGACCCTTCTACTGCATATCTTTTTTTTCTCCCTCCGACAGGACCATATTAGATACATTTGCCCAGCCAGTTGATGCACCTGATTTGTTTGTTCCATCATACTTTCAAGTGGCTAACATAGCCCTCACATGCAACGGTTCAAAACATCATGTCCCCATCACGATTCAATTCGCGTTTTTTAGACAATCTAAAGTGGTTGGTATCATTATTTTCCAATCTTTTTGCTATCATTTTCCATATTTTCCGTAGCTTTTTCCATATTTTCCATAACTTTTCCCCAGTTTTCGATATTTTTTCCACATTTTCGCCATGAAAACTCGCCTTTAACACGAACTTCTCCCAGGTTTCCAGGACGAGATGACACTCGCCTGGCGCGACCGGCCCGACGACGGTGCCGGATTTTTACATCGCCTCGACTGCCAAACGTGGCTTGGCAAAATCCCATGGCAAAATCCATGGGAATCCATGGGATTTCTGGGAGATTTCTTGGATATCTATTTATCATATTAGTTTTTTACATATAATACCCTATAATATTTGTTTATTTACATATATATATATTTATGATTATATATGATATACCATAAAATTTTTATATTATAGTATATCAGAAATATCTATCCGAGATATTTCTAGCTCAAATCCCGGACACCGAGTTCTGGGCTCATGATCCGTGGCAAGAACCCGGAGAGCTTCGATGCCCTGAAAAAGCAGTTTTTTATGCAAAAGGTGCCGGGTGCTGGGAGCTGGGAATGTCTATTTTTGTTGGTTTCTCATTGGTTTTTCTCAATGGTTTCTCAATGGTTCTCCATTTCCCAAAACAGGTGAAGAAGGGCTACCTTTGCCTGGCTCATGGCCAGATCGAAAGCGATGGGCCCTTCCGAATCGATGCCAAACTCTCGTATTCGCGAGAAAACGAAGAGACCACGGTGGTGGCTACCGGAGGCTGGCCATGGCTATGACGGCGGACGGCTATGGCCATGGCAGATGCTGATGTGTGTACCCAAGAAAATTGACGGGTTTCAATGACAAACTTCTGAACCTGGTTAAGTGTGATGAATCGATACAATACGATATCAGCAAGGAATTTCGTCGATTTTTATGGTTTTTAAAACAGATTGATTTAAAAATCGACTTTCAATGCATTTTTCCGATTTTCCTTTGTTGTGCTGGAGTGAGGGAGATCCGAGGATCTTCGAGGAGACTTCGCTAACATATCCGAACATTCAATCTTCACAGATCATGCCTGACTTCATTCTCTCCTTCGTTCTGACTTCGTGCTTCCATGGTTTCTTGTTCTTTCGTTTGTTTCTTTCGATTTTTCTTTGTTTGTTCTTTTCTTTTCGTTTCTTTTCCTTTCTTCATTCTGCTTGTTCTTTCCCTCTTGTTTTTTTGTTTCCCCTTTCTTCCCTTCTTTCTTCCCTTCTTTCTTCCCTTCTTTCTTCCCTTCTTTTGTGTTTGGGTGTTAATCGTTTGCCTCTTTAAACATTGGCTGCAGTGAAATGGATTCTTTTGCAGACCTTCGCATTCTTTGAACACCTCAGTAAGGAGTCGTGCCGTTTGGGATTCACAAAGCACGTAAGCCGACGTAAGCCGACGTAAGCCGACGTAAGCCGACGTAAGCCGACGTAAGCCGACGTAAGCCGACGTAAGCCGACGTAAGGGAGGTCCTGAAAAATGTGGGCTCTGCGAAAACCTTGTCATAATCCAATAGCACATGTAGCACATGTAGCACTCCACCAATAATTCAATACATCATCAAGTGTTGGAAGAAAATTCACAGAGCACCGCAGCACCGCCCTACATTTCTCAATGTCCAATTCCACTCATGACCCGTGACCTGCCGATCAGGTGAACATGCAGAGACCTTTGTGATGCCATTGGCTCACGCCTATTGGGGCCATCAAACCTACACCTTTTGCGCCGTCCGAATCGTGTCGGGCAGGACACATCAAATCCGATGCTTGGATGCAGCTTAAGCTGAAGCCCATATTTTACATGTTGACCATTGAAATTCAGGTTGGACAAGGTTTGTAGAAAGTTCTTTTGAAGACTCAGCTGCTTTTTTCGACTCGCACGGAGGAAAGCATTTGGAGTACTTGGGCCATCCATTGGTAGCAGATCGAAAGTACAATCCGCTGGGTGCTCGGGACAAGGAGTGGTGCCCCAGACTGCCTCTTGGCAGCCGAGCTACGCTCCAGGTTGTGACTGATTGGCCAAAAAAACTGGAAATTCCTCATGTACTTGGGGGCACCACCTGGGGCTTGTACATTGGTGTTGCCGGCCTTTGCTTTGACATTCAGCCCAATGCAACACCTTCTTCAGAACAAGCATGCAAGGTGCACAGTGGGTTGACTTTGTATGTTACGTCTCGTGCCGAAGAATGATGTGCACTGGCAGAAGCAGATCATGATGATCATGTCTCTAGTTTTCCCCATTTTTTTGTTACATTTGTTACATGTTTTTGTGGATGCCGAGGTTTCTTCATGCCTACGAAGTCTGGATCAATGAATTAGGCTCGGCCCTTGGGCCTGGTCCATCTGGTCCGTTGCGAGTCATCCCAGTGATATCCGTGGTGCGTTGCAGGCACAGAGCACAGATTCGTGGCGCCACTTGCTGCTTGGAAAGAATGGCTGCATGCTACAGCTACCCTATGCTACCTATGCTACCCTGCTAAGATCCAATAAGAACAGAACAAACAATTGGAAAATGAAAGAATGTTGAAAGTTGAAGTGCCTTGCTGCCTTGGCAATCCCGTCAGCTTGAATGTCTCCCTGTCTCCCTCTTTGTGCGTATGTGTATAGAGACAAAGATGCACAGTAAAGAAAAGTAAACACGTAGATAGATCAGTAGGTGAAGTGAAGAAACAAGCAGTCTAACAGTAGAAATAACATAATAATTGTTAATAATCATTGAGCATTAGGCAAATCACAAAAAATGTGAATGGTTGCACCCAAAATAGACACATCAATTGTCAGCTCAGCTGCCGATTTGCGAGGCTTTGGACCTCCGAGTGGCTCTGCAAAAGTTGCAAGTCGTTCCTCGGAGAAATCGGGTCAGGTGGGCGGGAAGCTGGGGAACTACAGGAACTACATGTAACTTACATCATGTAACTACAATAACTACATATTCCATCAATTTCCATCAATTTCCATCAATTTCCATCAATTTCCATCAATTTCCATCAATTTCCATCAATTTCCATCAATTTCCATCAATTTCCATCAATTTCCATCATATTCCCATAGGATACTCCCATCAGATGTCATCTGCAGTGGAAAGGCTTCAGGGCCTATTGGCACCAGCAGCCGGCCCAAGAGGAATGCCATGAAAAAAACAACTCTTGGAGTCCCATGGCAGATGAACACATCACAGAAACACAAAATGGACATAAATGGACATGTTAGGACCATTTAGACCATTTAGGATCCCAGATCCATCAAAAATCCCACTGGGATCAGTCCAAATCAGAGATCATCCGAGCAGTTTTGCGTTTTTGTTTTGCGCGCGTGCACAGCGCAGCCATGGCAGATGTCGCGGATGTCGCGGATGTCGAGCCGGAGTCCCTGAGAGATCTGGCGAGGGTGACCCAGGCGTTGTCTAAGGCGAGGCTGCAGCAGTCCAAATGCGAAGGGGCCATGCATCAGATGTGGAAAGACCTCATCGCATCTGATTCCGCAAAGGTGACGAAAGCAGCGGAAGATCTGCAGAATGCCAAGTTTGAAGACTACGATCCGAAGATTGCGGCAAAGAAAGAGGAAAACAATGCGACCAGATCAAAACTAGAAGCCCTAAGGGAAGAGAAAAGAAGAATAGCTGCAGAAGCTACAGAGGAGCGCTCGGAGCCACCATGTTTTCGCCGTGTCCTTCAAGACATCGATGGAGGCGTAGATTCTGGATACCTTTCGGCCAGAAAGGGAACCCTGCTGGTGGCAAACCACAGAGAGGAGGACCATTTCTATGGCTTCAAACTTGCGGACCCTGTAGACTGTGGCTGGTGGCTGGCTTCTCTCACTGAGCCATTTCCGACGAAGGGAGCGAAAGAATCGGATCGTGCATCCTCTTAATCCGTCCGGGGAAAAAACATGTCCGTGTGCGCAGGTCGTGCTCCAGATATTCAGAAAGATTTCATCCCAAGTCAATAAAATTGGTGAAAGCGAAAAAATGCAGGAAAGTCGACATATTTCATAGGAAAATCATGAAAATCCATGCTTTCGGGTAGATTTTCGTTACACCATGTTACACCAATCTGTGACATCCAGGTAACCTCTCCCATAGGGACGATCCAAGGCTGAAAATCTTTGTGAACCTGGTCGCTTAAGAGAAGTGCCCACCACGGGACTTATAGACCAGGCGCACAGGGACTGCATCACTTGGGTCACTTGGGTCACTTGGATTTGTCGTTTTTGTCGTTTTTGTCGTTGATTTTTTTGAGAGATGGATAAGATATGATAAGATAAAGCCAATCTGGACAAAGCCGACAAAGCCTTCAGGAATCCGGTCCTTTTTCTTTGATTTTCGGCGTTTCGGCGTTTCGGCTGAGTTTCTGGCACAGGTCCTGACGGACGAGTTGATGGATCTGAAGAGCTCAACCCAAACTTTCGATTATTTTTAGTGACGTGGCTGTCGTGGAATCCGGCCCTGCCCGATTCATTGCGATGGCCGATGGCCGATGGCTGACTCATCTCCTCAAAAATCCAGCATTGCCAGCATGAAATATACCTAACTTACATCACCTATCCCATTGGGATTGGCTATTTCATTGTCATCCTCCTCCTCCTCCTCCTCGTCATCATCATCATCATCATCATCATCATGATCATGACCAATCACCAATCACCGTCAGCATTACCAATCACCGTCAGCATGATAAGCATCACCTGTGAACAAGCAGGGGTTTCCTCGCAAAGTTCCGAGGAGGCGGCAGTTCCGTGTCCCCCCTTTGAATTTGGCACAGCTAATCCACAGACCCTCAGGTAATCAAACCTGGCAATGGAGAATTCACCAGTTTTTAGGGAATTCTCCATTAAAACCTTCATTTCGTTCGGTGATTTTCCATTGCCATGTTTACTTCCCGGAGGGTATAGATCAGCAGACTGCTTTTAACTCAGGACTGCCTGCCGAATTGCACTCATCACTACTCATCTCGCCATGCCCCACTGTACAAGTTTCATGAGAAGGGGCGCCGCCAGTCAGAATGACCAGAGAAAAGACGTCAGCGACTCTGCAAGTGTTGGATGACTGTGCAATAAGCACCATGTGTGTATATATATATAATTATATCATTATATATAGTTATATATATATATATACACATACACATATATACATTATATATATATATATATCCATATATTGTTTCTTAATGTTTCTTAAACAGGTCAATCCTCTTGAGAACATGCGTTCCATTCCATTTCGACTGTGAAAAACGGCAGAGACCAAGTAGTACGTAGCAGTACGACGGCAAGTGTTGGGCATGTCCACTGTACGAATCCAACCTCCATGTGACCGTGAGAACTCTGGCTGAAGGGAACCGAAGGGAACCGAAGGGAACCATGGATTAGGAACCACGGATCTTTCGGAGCACGGCCGGAGATGCGGTGCCAGGATGAGTTGCGGACCTTTCTGCAATGTCTCATGATGCCGCCATCACCGGCGTGTCTTGGTGAAGTCGAACAAGGGAAGCGATGGGAAGCCTTGAAGTTGGGTTAGCAACGGTTAGTTTGGCAAGCATAGGCTGGCCTAGACGTGTAAAATTTAAATGTAGACGAGCTCACAACATCATTTTAGGATATTTTAGGTAACTACAGGTACATATCTGGCACACGGTGGTACCTGCTTTCCTGGCACTGGGGATATGTGACCAAGAAATGAATAGTTGCGTTTTACATATCCAGTGTGCCACCATCTCAGGTCGAAACCGGTGCCTTCCAAAACGTGCTATGGACGCAATGTGGCAATCATATCGCATAACCAGACTCGACTTGAAACGGGAAAGATTTTTTGGCGGCACCTGGATGCACTTGCTTTCCATCCAGTCACGCTTCAATTTTGAATTCGCAGGGATTCTTTTGTTGGTGCGCCTCAGGTGCAAGAGGGAAGCTCCCCGAGCACATCTAAGGTTCAAACCTGGCGCTGAGTTTGCAACAGTTGAATGATGCCGCTCAAACTGGCTGTAGCGGTTTCACATTCACCGACAGTATTCTGACGGAGGGGAATGTGTAAATGGTAAGAGGCCAAACATGTGTTTGCAAATGTGATTGCCATAGCTCTTCTATGTAAATTCCAAACTTGATTCCAACTGAGTACCTGGTAAACATTGGTAAACCATTTCTTCTTGGCAATGGAAACGTCCCGGTGATCCGTCGTAACCGAAGCTACGCAGCAGGTTGGATCTTCCATTCGACCACGCCTTGGAGACGCTCACGGCACGTGTCGTTCAGGCGGAGTTGACTGAGGGACTTCCACAGATTTTACCACGGTGCTTCCATCATAGGTTATAATGTTATAATGATTAGAATGCTACTGTGGTCTTTGTGGGTTAATAATACCAAATGTTGATTCATGATGGGGCACCTTGGAGAGAGAGAGAGAGTACTTGCAACAGATTGCGTCGAATGTTGAGCCCATTGTCGCTATGATAGTTATTGAATGATCATGAATGATATCTTTTCTAATTATTGTTTTTTTTTCCTGGATCCGAACCAGGAATGACACCCGCAGCCCATGAATCTTCCTGATCCCCCGACACAAATTACTGGTCAGGCAGAGATGCCGGTGAAAGCACCGGTCTCCGGCTAGAGACTTGGGATGTAGGTTCCACGTGGTTCTACGTTGTACAGTGGAGGATAATGAGGATGATCAGGATGATATGCCTGAACTGTAGTTCCCGAAAAACATTGGAGTGTCACATGCCAGGGGAGGTTACATGATGTTGGTCCATGGATATTTTGACCAAAGCAGAACGGCTGCGGTTGTAGAAACTGGTCAGAGCTGAAGGTCAAGCTGAAGGCCCAAAGTTGAGGCCTGCGATTGGATCTCTCAGGATTTCAGATCGTTTAAAGGTTGAGAAATCCTGAAATCCAGGTGAGGCCCTGCTGTTCCTGATGTTTGCAGGCGACCTTCAAGTTCGAATCGAGGCCGGACTCCTGCAGTCCACATGGGCCGCCATTCTGGGCAATTTCTGGCCTTTTTACCATCGACCCAAAGGGATCGACGCTTCAAGGTGGACATCGACAGAAGCGGGCGCGCAGTGCTGTTGGCCGTGCCTCGGAGATGCAACAGCTAGTGAACAATGGGCAAAAACAGAGCGATATTCATGGGATATTAACAGGATTAAGGATATTTGAATACATACTATATATATATATATTCATGGCATGTTAATGGGATGTTTGTACGATATTTCTGGTGTATATATAAATATATAAATATACACATACACATAATAGACTACATATTATAGTAGCCTATTTTCAGACTATCCTACATATGCCAACAATGACGGTCAATGGGGGTGTCTGAAAATAGGGTATACCTGCCAAGTTGCAATTTCAAGAGGGAAAATGATCAACCAATGGATTTAGGGCTCTCCTGTTGTCAGATATATCATAATTATTCTATCTCTATGTCTACTGTATTTCTCCATATAAATATATATATATATATATCTATATCTATCTGATTTGTCTCTATGTCTCATTCTGATCTTATTCTATCTAATCTTATCCAATCCTATTTAACCGTAGCTTACCTTGTCCTATCCAAAGCTATCTAATTCTATCTTATCATCATATCTTATCGTATCCTTTTTATCTCATGCTATCTTAGTTTATCCTATTATCTTATCCTATCTTATCTTATGCTATCTTATCCTATAGTATCTGATGCTATCTTGTCCTGTCTGATCCTATCTTGTCGTACCTTGTTTGTATCCTAATGCTGTGTAACACTATCTGTTTCTATCTGATCTTGTCGTATATTATCCTATCTTATCTTGTCCTACCTTATCTTATCCATCCTATCATATCCCATCTTATCCTATCATATGCTGCTTTCTTAATCGTATCTATTTTCATCTCATCCTACTCACTTTGCCCAATTGGTTCACGTGATACAGCAATGGGTTCCAGCGCAGGAAAGGTCTTCAACAATCCCTTCGCTCAGTGGACTCGTGTACCACCGGAATCGGTGGGAGTGATGTCCCATCCTCATAGCCACAGCCCACAGCTGTTTTTCTTCCAGAATTCTGTGAGCAGCATGGCACCATGGCACCATGATAATCATGATATGTTTGTCAATGTTTGTCAGCCAGATTCAAAACCTGATTTTAAACTGCAGAGTTTCAACGTCTCAACCGCTGCAGATACCGCAGAAGTGCCTCTCCGGATGGCTCCAGCACGGCACCCACAGCTGGGCGGCGCGTGGAGCGACGGTTGGCGCGATGGGGACTGAGGTCGAGGTCCTTCTCCAAAGCGGGAAGCATGGGGTCTGGGGACCCAGCACATCCTGGTGGTTTCGGTAGGATGGGTCTGGGCCAGTATCAGGTGTCAAACCTGGCCCAGGAAGCGAAGGCAAAGAAACATCGGAGTCGAAGCCAGGCCCGTCACGGGGTCACATGGGGTCACCCGTTGGTCCGTTGACAGCTGCCTTTCCCGTGGCCTGCAGGTGACACTGATATCAACGCAGGTGCGAGTACTGAGACAGTGATTCGAACCTTTGTTCGAATATCGAAGATTTGGAAGTGTTCCCGGTGCACAGTTTAGGACATGTAGGAATCATTGGATTGGATCATGGTGGATAGTCTGGATAGTTATTTTGCAGTTCTAACTGTTCCAGCTGTTCCAACCCTCCCGGCTTAGATGAAGTTGACGTCCTACGTCCCAGACTTTATCCAAAAGCATCAAAGCGAGGCGAGTGTTTCCTGTTTTCGAGCGCATCATAGGCGTTGTGCTAATACTTTGGAATGTTTTCGAGTAAGTGCTGCAACTTGAAGCGGTTGCCCCGGTTGCCAGAGATTTTTGGAACTGGTCAACAGGCAGCAGCAAGCCGTACATCAACCAAGCCCGAAGTCGCTTGGCTCGATGACGGCCTTGAGAGGTTTGCTGTTTTGAGACGTGTGGCACGATCTCATGATGCGAGGTTCAAGCAGAAGCAGGCAGAAAAACTTCGCACAAAGATGGGAACTCAGATTACTGAGACTTTGTGCTTTGCCAAATTGCTGCAGACTTCCCAGGCAGATTTTTTTCAGACCTTTCCGAGCGTCGAGTGGATGTAAGTTGTGAGGCTTTGCGAGACGAGGAAGTGATAACAGCTCTGTTTCTGGTGCTGTGCTCAGACCATGTGCAAATATCATTCAACTTTAAACCATTGTTTGACCATTGGTTGTGGGAACATAGTGACATAGACAAGAGAAGGTGATGGGCACACATTGGTATACAAGAAATCAAGGTTGTGCAAGTTTCCCAGACCAGGAAATTTGAGTGTCACTCAAGGCTCAGCCAAAGACGAGCCTCATATGAGCAGAAGTTGCCAATTTTTTAGTCAATGTCACAGGATACTTAAACGGAGTTCACTTCATAGATCAACGCTGAAAGATGTGAGGTCTTTCTGCAGGTCCACATCTCAGTTCGCCGTTGCCGTGACCAGCGAAAATGGCCTGCTGATGCTGAGGATTTTCCCGAAGGACCAGCGAAAACGCTCCAAACGCTCCGCTCGAACGGAAGAGATCCAAAGGGAGCCAGGTCAACCAAGCAATCGCAGGCCAGGTGGCCGTGGCCAGATCTCCCATGATCCATGAAGATCATCGTCATAAGCCATGAATTTTTAGACCTCCCAGCACCGGAGGTCTGTTTGGCGTGCCAGAGATGCCAGAGGTCAAAGTCGAGGACGATAAAGCGGCGATGATCATCCAGACGATTTCTATGACACTGATGCACTATGTAACTATGTAGGTGATTTAGATGGGAGTTCGCCATCCACCATGACAATTATGGATAACTTTTGGGACCTTTCAACGGATTTCCTGATTTCCGTTTTGTGTATCTTTGTTTGGTTTTCAATACTGCTCACAGCAGCAGGTGGATTACCGTAAGTGGCACAATTGTGGATCTTGTGGCACCATGTCACGTGGCGCACAGGAGGAGAACAGATCAAAGGTCCCAGGGTCCCAGGGTCCCAGGGTCCCAGGGTCCCAGGGTCCCAGGGTCCCAGGGTCCCAGGGTCCCAGGGTGCGGCGATGTGACTGAGAGTGGCTCATGTTTTTTGATGGTTTTCATTGGGGAAAAAAAACATTTCAGGAGGTTTCCTGAAACGGGGATATTCCTGAATCATCCATTTTATTGGGATTTTCCCTTATAAACCATTTTGGGGATCCCCCATTTTAAGAAGCCCCCATATATAGGGTAACATACCACTTACCCTTTGGTATTCCATTCTGCGCTCATTCGCAGACTTCAACACTAGAAATGGTCATGTTCTATTTCAGATTGGAACGGAAGGTATTTGTGAATTTCGTCAATGTCTCTTTGAGTGACCCCTCATTGTTGGTGCTAAACTCATTAGTGATAATCATCATAATTGCGATAATATCCATTTATCTATAGCAGTGGATCATTATGATTATCATCAAAATCCAGAATCATGATATATATTAAGCCACAGTTTTGGTTATTTCGTTGTATTAACCCACAGTTTGGTTATTTTGTTGATCACCCACCAGATATTTCTCCACATCAAAACAGTGACGTCTCTCCGTTGATCCTAGGACTTCACTGAGCAAGCGCTCAGCACGAAGCTCAGCTTGCCCTTGGAGGTGGCCAAGCAGGCGCTTCCATCAGCCTGGATTTGATGGTGAAACATGTTGTTTTGTTTTTTTTTTAAAATAGTGCCATGAACATGGCATCATCATCATTTTTTCGTGGAAAAATGACCATCAATGAAGGTAGAAACCGTTTTCAAACACCTATTCTGTTATCAAAAGCCAATTTGTGGCCAGAGAATATACGGAGAATATATGAGAATATCACCAGTGATGGTCATATAATTTGGTGGGGAGAACGCAATCCCAAGGTTTCTAACATATTTTTTTCCACTGATTTGATGGCCATATATCTTTTGAGGCCTCGCCGCAGCTGTGGCCATGAAGCGATCGTGTGACACGTGTGGGGCAGTGCCATTTAGGATGGGAGGTATGTATCGGTAAATCGATAACATTTAACTAACTGGATATGTGTAACCAATGGAACTGCCATATCATGCATTTTGGAGAATTTTGAAACTAACTGGGCGTTTACTCCTGTTTACTCCTCTTTCACATTGAGGAAAACATGGGAAAACCATCTCAAGAATAGCTCTTTCACTTGCTGTGATGCTCTGCTTCCAGGCTGCTGAATGCTTCAGAAACCATGTCCCTTGGCCACTGGAGTCTCTATATATTCCATGGTTTGCTGCTTGTGAAGCCTTTCACGCGCTGTTTGAATGGAAACCCTTTGGTTTGATCTTTGATGATGTTTGATGATGTTTGATGGTGTTTGATGACGTTTGATGGTCTTGATGACGTTTGATGGTGTTTGCTGATGTTAGATGTTTGTTTGATTCACATTTTTTCTTTTTTCCAAACATGTCTGGATTCATTTCCAGCCTGATTTCCTAGCCATGGAATTTCTTGCCGAGGCACAATGTGAGCCCAGCGACCGGCCGGACCTCTGGCGAAGCTTGCCGTGACAGAAGTAGAGACTACGGACTTTCTTTCGCGACTCTACAGTGTGGAGACTCTATGTAGAGACTTTACAGATACTCTATAGATACTCTTGGTTCTAGCAACAACCTCTATGTCTCTACACAAGGCATGCTTTTTACAGATTTTCTCCGATTCTCCCAGGATTGAGACGATCTGACTTTGAAAATGCCGCTGGGATCCGCACAAGTCATGAAAAAGTCAGCATTTGACGGAGATGATCATTGCTCCAGAAGTCTTCCCAGAGAGGGGAAAATCCACACAGGAAACCTCCAATTTGGGTAACATCTAGCCAGTTTCCGGTTTTTGGATTTTCGCACCATCCAAACCAAATATCAGATAAAATGCGCTTAAATTCGCATGAACGGTGAACTTGGCAGAAATATCAGTTTGGACTTCAGAATTCTGTGACTCTGTGACTAGGTCCTGTGCGAACTTTGTTCCGTCGGTCAAGTTGGAGAACTTCCGATTTACTTCGTGAGTCAGGCGGACTCGGAATGACTCGGAACTGACTCGGAACCGATCCATGGGAACGATGCAAGTGCAAGTTGTTTGACCGAAGAAAGTAGAAAAACAATCCGAAAAAGAATAGATCCAAAGGATGGAACTCCAGAAGGCAAATGATGAGGCAAATATAGGCAAATGAGGCAAATGTCATCTCCAACGAAACTTGGCGTTTTTTCCCTCATTTTCGGTTCCAACAGAGTTCGCCAGTTGGAGTTGGTTGCAGGTCTTCCGCCTGGCAGATATGACTCGAAGTGGAGATTTGGACTTGGAGGAGCCAGTTCGAACAGCCAGTGGTGGGAAAATGTTAAGAACATGCGGGAAAAACCATGGCAAAATATGACAAAACAACCCAAGATGGTGGAGAAACGACAAAAGCCAGCAAGCTGTTTTTTTCCAGGCAAACATATGTCCGAAACACTGGAGATTTTTGGGAGGGAAAGAACTGTCGCAACAGCTTTGGAGCCGGAGCCAGGAATTTATATCCTGGTATGCCACGTTCTCTTTTTCGGAGGACCTGTGTGTGATGCCTCTGGTGCTGGGATGGCGAAAAATCCCAATTTCGGAAATGGATGGAAATCAACTGTAAGGGGTGCAAATGCCTCATAATCCATATGACCACTATTACCATTTGTAGATTTATCAAGGATTTTCATGGATTTTCATCTTGGATGATAAGAACATGGCTGCCGACCGCAGGAACTCCTTCTAGGAAAATCCACCAAGTCCGTTCGCGACGATGCTCGGCCGAGAAATCTGGATCAATCTGCCTTACCTTTGGAAATCTAACAAAGCTATGGGAAAAGCAGCATTTTTAAAAGGTGAATATGGTAAATCACCTACCACCGGGCCATTTTCATCCATTTTCCTCAGGTAAACGCACGCGAAGATAGAACACATACAGAATGGAGTTTGCTTTTACCGATCCAGGTGGTTTTTTAGGGCTGAAGCTCAGGTTGCTCGGAGAATGGGTATCAACTTACTCGACATCGAGCGCTACAAGAAGGTTTTTGACAGCTACGATACCAACAAGAGCGGTGTACTTGAGAATCTTGAAGAAATAGTAGACGTGCATAGCGTTGGGGATTGGGTAGCCATGAGAATCAACATGAGACACCCATTCTCGCCGTCTTTAAATCAGCATTTTTGCAACCTCTTCTTTGTTATTTACTTAGGGGTTTGTTCATCTGCGATGGTTGTTCTCATTTTCGACATCATTTGATGGCCATAAATTGGGGCACCCCGTATTCAATTCTTTTGGAAAAATGTGGAGAAAATCGATGTAAATAGCATATCTTCCATCAAATTGTTGCTTAATATCCCCAAGTGTATAAGGAACACACTGACAAATCATATGGTGTCCCCAATTTTTGGCTGGTGAAAACATATTTCAAGTTCCTTGATTGGCTTAGATTATTTTTGTTTCATGGCTAAACTGCCCGGCCAAACCCAAAGAATCGGTTGGTTACACGGCAATTTTCAAGCCCAATCAAGCGGCCTTCAGGATTGGTGAGTTTCGGCAGCTGCTGAACCGGCTGTTGAAGGTACCTGCAGGACATCACCTTCCGAATTCGCAAGTGAAGAGCTTTTGGACCATGGCAGACCGTGCTTCAGCCGAATTCAGCTGCACCACTAGCGATCTGGTTTCAGCCGGTTGGTCTCTCTCGGTTGGTTGGTGCTGAGGAAATGGCAACGGTGTGATTGATTTTCCAGAGTTCTGCAAGTTCTACTTGATGCTTGGCAGATTCGGCCGTTCTTATCCGAGTCTTATATATGGTATCCCTTGGTTCAGCTCCCCTAGCTTTGTAGCTGTGGTGCTCGTGGAATGTCGTGGAATGTCGTGGAATGTCGTGGAATGTCGTGGAATGTCGTGGAATGTCGTGGAACGAGGAGAAATTTGGTGAAGAATGGAGAGGATTACCAACTGAGCGATATGTACAGAGGCATTCGCAACGTTTCCGTCGGGCCGTCGGGTCGCCCCATCGCCAGCTGACCAGCGGGATTTACCTGGATGTACCTGGCAATATCTGGCATCACTTGGCAATCCATATTGCCCATACCCATATTTGTCCATATTTATCCATATTTATCCATATTTATCCATGATGAATGAAGTGATGAATGAAGACCGCATACCGAAAAGTTGCAATTTGTATTATTAAATCTGTTCAGTTTAGTTTTTTTTGAGATTGTCCTGAGCTTCCCAGAATTTTCGTGGGCGGTTTACTCACCCTTAGCATGCGGACCTCTGAAGGAGTCGCAGAAAGTGCGCGGTTAGCATTTGCACCATTTGAGAACACTAGGTTTTGCATTTCATCATATTTCATCACTAGGTTTTGCAGCAGAAAATATTGCTAACATATGCTAACATCTTGGAGCTTTGTGGGGCCCGGACAGTTTATCGCAGCTATGGTGATATTTCTGTGGCAGCATGGAAGTGCGACATGTGTTGGTGGCTCCATGGCCAAGCTTCTGGGCAGTGTCATGAGATGCTGTCTCCGGTCCAGGCAGGGTGTTCTCTGCGAAAGATAGGAGTTGGCTTTGACCCTGAGCTGTTTCCCCTTTTGAGCTGTTGGTTTGCTTTCTGGTTTGAACCTATTTGAACGAAGTTAAAACGCCGTCCGCCCAGCAATCTTGGAGTTTCTTGCCGTTCCTTCGTTTGTGCTAGGCGTATCTGCAGGCTGCGTGTCACTGAGGCGGTTGCTTGCTTCATTTTTACCACCTTTGGTCAGTTTCATACCAGCAAACTTGCCAGCCTGGTGAAAAATGACTTTGTTTCACACCACTGATCTGAAACGGAGTAATCTGTGACATCATGGTGTAATTAGATGTAATTAGCAGAAGTGCGGACAGGTGTTAGGCATTTTTTGACGCTAGAGCATTTGTAACTTTTGCAACTTCTGCCACTTCTGCACTGTTGCTGTTCTTTTGCTTCTTCTCAAGGCGTATCTGCCGACAGATCTCGCCCCAGTGGGATGTGGAATTCTTTGGGGTGCCCTGATGTGCAAAGCCATGGCTACCGTGGCCTTGTACAGAATGGGCCAAATGGCCACCCAGGGCAGAATGGGCACGCCCAGAACGGGCATTCCCCGTGGAAAGTGAATCAGGGCTGTGTGCCCGATGCCGGTGTCTATGAACCCTTCGCCTATCCCAGGGTTGGCCCCGTACCCGCCGGACCCGCCGTCCCCGGCGCAGCCGGTGCTACCGGTGCAGCCGGACCAGCAGTAGCTGCTATACCGGCAGTGGCTGCCTTACCGGCCAAGATTTCAGCTGCCGTACCCAGCTTGCCGCAGATGAATGGTCACAGTCCAGATGTGGCTGACCCTCAGATCCAGTGGTGGGTAGAGAAGATCGATGCAGGAACTGCAATTCCAACCTTGAAATCACGAAGTGTGGGCAGCATGTGCCCAACCAACCTGGGAAAACAACAGACACTCCGTGTGAGTGACAGAAAGGACACCGGACAGCGAGGACCAGGACGAGCAAAGTTCCCATGTCAAAGTCTCCTTCCCGATGTTCCAAGGCCTTTACGTCATCCCTCAGAAGTGGGAGTCGCCATGGCACTCTGCAACTTAGAGAAGTCGCAAGCATTGCGTGGCAATGAAATTCGTGGAATTTTGCGAGAAAGCTTTCAGAAGGCATATGAAGCAGTCAACACAGCAGCCAAGGCTCATGAAGACCTTTGCCAGAAGACGGAGAAGTTGAAGGGCATCCCTGGGACTTTAGATGCGGTGAAACGTGCCAAGATTTGCACTAGGGATGTCTTGCTGTGGCGATGGTTTGGCCTTACGGCTTGGATTTACAATCAAGCTGAGTCAGAATTCTTCCAATCCTATGGCCGAGAAATTGAGAGCCAGCTCATGAATTCTGTGGTGAAGATCCGACAGAGACTGATGCAAGATTTGATGAGAAAGCCTTGCTGGCATCAATTGGAAAGGAAGTTGATGAAATGTGCTGCAACTGATTCTTGGACTCCTGAACTAGAAGGCCTTTTGAATCGCTTCCGTTTCATGTTTGAAAGCCTTGGTGGTCCGGGAAATCCTGTAATTCAAGAATGGCGCTTGACCGAAGAAGAAGAGAAGATGGAGATGCAGGAGAATGAGGCCAAAGAGCAAGAAGCAGAACAAGAATTTGAAGCCGAGGTGTGGAACAACGCAGGCCGAAAGGTCTCAGAATCAGTGGTTGGGCTTTTGGGTTTGGATGACTTTGATGAATTTGATGCTTGCGATCCGGCCATGGATCCAGATTGCTATGCTGCTGATGCAATCCATCCAATCGATGCAAGCCCCGAGGCTGATGATCATGAAATTCGTGATGATCCGGCTTTCGTTGCTCAGCAGGGCTTTGTTGATGGCTTCTCAGCCATTCAAAACATCCTATGGGAGCTGCACCACCCAAAATGCCAAGTTCCAATGGGCGTGAGCTGAATGAGATTGAGCTGATAGATTGGGCTGGTCTGAAACCTCTGAAACCTCTCCGTGTGAGTGCAAAAGCTGTAATTATAGATAGGTGTCACAAGCAAAGCACTTTTTGACTTGGACGCTGAAGATGTCAACCTAGTGCGCCTGACAAGTCCAATTCTGAAAACGAGTCGAAAAAGGGAGATCTTGGAAATCTTCGAATCTGTTAGGTTGAAGGGTTTCATTTCAATTCATTTCATATATTTCACATTGATTTTTGGCTTCGGAGATTTGATGAGCACCGCATGATCAGCGTGACTTCGGCGCACCTTGTGCTCCATGGAGGTGACACTGGCCGACCGCGATGCCGCGGCCTTTGGTTTCGCCATGTTTCGCCTCTTGTTGCAGATTTGTGGTTGGTAGGGTCGCTTTGGAGCCATTTCCCATCATTTCCCATCTTTCAAAAAACCAGGTCATAGGTCGTTGATGTACCCATGATGTACCCATTGTGGTTGGACATGACCTTCCTCATTTCAGGGATGGGACAGCCACATCCCAGGAGTTCGTCAGCATCGATGCAGTTTTTCTAGGCCAAGAGTGTTTGTTGTTCTTTGGAAGTCATGTTTTTGATCGCGTTCTTCATGGCAATTCACACCCAGCAGTGGGAACTCTTCTCATGTCTTCAGCAATGAGTAGCAATGTCAGACTGCCCATCCTCAATGTTTAAGGCGCCTGGCTGTGAAAGAGCACGGAGAGACGTTTTCTGAATTGTTTCACCTCTTACCTGAGCTGTAGGTTGCTTTCTGGTTTGAACCTATTTGAACGAAGTTAAAACGCCGTCTGCCCAGCAATCTTGGAGTTTCTTGCCGTTCCTTCGTTTGTGCTAGGCGTATCTGCAGAGGCTGCGTGTCACTGAGGCGGTTGCTTGCTTCATTTTTACCACCTTTGGTCAGTTTCATACCAGCAAACTTGCCAGCCTGGTGAAAAATGACTTTGTTTCACACCACTGATCTGAAACGGAGTAATCTGTGACATCATGGTGTAATTAGATGTAATTAGCAGAAGTGCGGACAGGTGTTAGGCATTTTTTGACGCTAGAGCATTTGTAACTTTTGCAACTTCTGCCACTTCTGCACTGTTGCTGTTCTTTTGCTTCTTCTCAAGGCGTATCTGCCGACAGATCTCGCCCCAGTGGGATGTGGAATTCTTTGGGGTGCCCTGATGTGCAAAGCCATGGCTACTGTGGCCTTGTACAGAATGGGCCAAATGGCCACCCAGGGCAGAATGGGCACGCCCAGAACGGGCATTCCCCGTGGAAAGTGAATCAGGGCTGTGTGCCCGATGCCGGTGTCTATGAACCCTTCGCCTATCCCAGGGTTGGCCCCGTACCCGCCGGACCCGCCGTCCCCGGCGCAGCCGGTGCTACCGGTGCAGCCGGACCAGCAGTAGCTGCTATACCGGCAGTGGCTGCCTTACCGGCCAAGATTTCAGCTGCCGTACCCAGCTTGCCGCAGATGAATGGTCACAGTCCAGATGTGGCTGACCCTCAGATCCAGTGGTGGGTAGAGAAGATCGATGCAGGAACTGCAATTCCAACCTTGAAATCACGAAGTGTGGGCAGCATGTGCCCAACCAACCTGGGAAAACAACAGACACTCCGTGTGAGTGACAGAAAGGACACCGGACAGCGAGGACCAGGACGAGCAAAGTTCCCATGTCAAAGTCTCCTTCCCGATGTTCCAAGGCCTTTACGTCATCCCTCAGAAGTGGGAGTCGCCATGGCACTCTGCAACTTAGAGAAGTCGCAAGCATTGCGTGGCAATGAAATTCGTGGAATTTTGCGAGAAAGCTTTCAGAAGGCATATGAAGCAGTCAACACAGCAGCCAAGGCTCATGAAGACCTTTGCCAGAAGACGGAGAAGTTGAAGGGCATCCCTGGGACTTTAGATGCGGTGAAACGTGCCAAGATTTGCACTAGGGATGTCTTGCTGTGGCGATGGTTTGGCCTTACGGCTTGGATTTACAATCAAGCTGAGTCAGAATTCTTCCAATCCTATGGCCGAGAAATTGAGAGCCAGCTCATGAATTCGGTGGTGAAGATCCGACAGAGACTGATGCAAGATTTGATGAGAAAGCCTTGCTGGCATCAATTGGAAAGGAAGTTGATGAAATGTGCTGCAACTGATTCTTGGACTCCTGAACTAGAAGGCCTTTTGAATCGCTTCCGTTTCATGTTTGAAAGCCTTGGTGGTCCGGGAAATCCTGTAATTCAAGAATGGCGCTTGAGCGAAGAAGAGGAGAAGATGGAGATGCAGGAGAATGAGGCCAAAGAGCAAGAAGCAGAACAAGAATTTGAAGCCGAGGTGTGGAACAATGCAGGCCGAAAGGTCTCAGAATCAGTGGTTGGGCTTTTGTGTTTGGATGACTTTGATGAATTTGATGCTTGCGATCCGGCCATGGATCCAGATTGCTATGCTGCTGATGCAATCCATCCAATCGATGCAAGCCCCGAGGCTGATGATCATGAAATTCGTGATGATCCGGCTTTCGTTGCTCAGCAGGGCTTTGTTGATGGCTTCTCAGCCATTCAAAACATCCTATGGGAGCTGCACCACCCAAAATGCCAAGTTCCAATGGGCGTGAGCTGAATGAGATTGAGCTGATAGATTGGGCTGGTCTGAAACCTCTGAAACCTCTCCGTGTGAGTGCAAAAGCTGTAATTATAGATAGGTGTCACAAGCAAAGCACTTTTTGACTTGGACGCTGAAGATGTCAACCTCTAGGACCTAGTGCGCCTGACAAGTCCAATTCTGAAAACGAGTCGAAAAAGGGAGATCTTCAGATTGGCCATGCCATGACTCCGAAGTTTGGTGATCACCTGGAACAGGAAAGGTGGGCTGGAGCCGCCAGGCAGCCGTGCAGTGCTCTGTGATTTTGGAAGGTTTGCTCAGTTTGCTCCATTGGAACTTGAGAGTTCTCTCTCTCTCTCTATATATATTTATTTAGATATATCATTTCGTATTATTTAGTCTTGGAATGCATTCAGGATACTAGAACTCAACAGTGGAATTTCTCCGGAATGAAGCCGTCTTCCTGTGATGGTCTCTTGAAAGCAGACTTTGAGGAAAGCCTTCCCAACGTTTGACCTCACCAAAAACATCATTTCCATTCACATCAATGGAAAATCCACCTAATCCACCATAAAAAATATTTTTCCCATGAAAACCTCCTTCTGATATATTCTGACCAGGGATTTCACATTTGGCCGTGACCCAAGGAATACTTACACACTCGGCGACCTTCCCAATCAGGTTGGGGCAAGCTTGTCCAGTTGCACATCGTGGGGATTCAACCATCTATGGCAATCGATGGTTGGGATTTTATTGTGGTTGAATGTCCATAGCACCATAAAATTGCACCATTTATAGTCATTTGCGGCTGGCAATTTGCAAATTGAGTTGACAGAACTGTGATGATTTGCCAAAGAGAACTTGCCTTTTGATCCTTTTTGCTTGTTTTGCAAGTGCAGAAGTGCCGACCCTCAATCGTGAAGGTGTGGAGTTGAATGATTGGTTAGACATTCATTTTCAATGCCTTGAAATTCCGAAGGCTTGCCAGACGAAGTTCCATTTAGGTTCAAAGTTCCAGGTTCAATACATGGGTCCATTCAGTGGTCATGGCGCCAGATGAGCGGCTTTTTCTGGGAGTAGCCTTCCAGGACAAGCAGTCTATTCTGGAGGGTACAGAGCACGTCGACACATCCGTGCGTCCAAGACGTCGCATCATGCCCTCCTTGCCTTTGAGCGAAGCCATCGTCGGAAATCAGCTTGTTTGAGCTTCCTGCCTCCAAGAGAGGCAAAAAGGATGGATCACGGGCAGTCTGGAGTGCACATCTATTGTTCCTTTTTACCACCAGATTCTCTGTTAGACGTCGTTGGAGAGACGGACAGCAGCCAGGAGGTCAATCATGGCTACATTTTTTGGGCAGTGGCACAGGATTTCGTTCATGACATTCTTCGGGAAGGATTTCGCCCGAAACACAGAAGAAGTATCCCAGTAGCAGTGGACGTCAATGAGGCAAAGAGCAGATATCGTAGCAAAGACCCCTCAGGCACTCCACGCGTGATTCGCATTCGAATGGAACTGGCCAGGGCAGAAGGCTTTCATGTCTTCGAGCATGACAGGGGACTCAGCCTCCATATGCCTCACATGGCAGAGAAGGTGAGTCCAAACCTCTTGGAGCTGGCTGATTCTCAAATCGCCCAGCCCACTGGCATCAACACCCTGTGTACTCCTCCAGGAATCACCGACGCGAAGAATACACAGGCCCTCATGGACGTTCCCGCTCCTGAAGTGCCAAGTGAGGATTGCATTCCGCAAAAGCCGGCAGACCAAGACATGGAGGTGGCTGGTGACAAGGGCACAGCATCAGAATGCCCAGAGTTCCCACGCATGAAGCAGGGGAGAAACATGTTGCTATATCTTCGGACTGGGGAGGGTTCAGATCAAAAACGATGGGTCCAAGGCCGCATCGTGGAAGGAGGCACTTCACGGACAGAGGTCCGAGTTCAAGTCAAGCTAGGGAAGCTCAGCCTAGCTCAGCACATCTGCCTGAACAGCAGCAGAGTACTGGAATTCTATCATCCAGATGCTTGTCAACTTGCAGACACAGAGGCGGTTCAGGCTGCTCAAGTGCGGGCTCTACATGCTTCTTTGTCACCAGGCAAGGGTAAATTGAAACACAGTCAACGTCAACACTGATTTGTTGAAGATCCCCTATCTCAGCGGCACAGGAAAGACCCTAAGTGTTTGTTTGCTGTCTATGGCATCTGTCTGTGGGAATGGATGGGAGGGTTTCCAACTCACAATGCAGCCGGAGCTGCGAGAATCCCACGGCAGCTTGATTTGCTATGAAACAATTTGCAAAAACAGATTGAGATTATTGTGGGAGTTAGCCTTTTTTGTTTAGAAGAATGGCCGGAAGAGGCATTTGGACCTTAGATACAGTGCATGAAGGTTTGATAGGAGTTTTGTGATGGCAGGCGGTGAATTGCGCAACAATCAGAATGTCTTCAAGCATCCGCCCTCCATCTCATCGTTGAAACTGGGAAGGACAACTCTTGCGAAGTCCTTCATTGTGCCTGATGGCCAAATGCCACAAAATGGCAAAGCGGACTTCTTCAAGAGATTGGATGCATTTCTGAAGAATGCACCTACACAAGATGCTGCTGGGAAAGAGCGAGTGGCTTTGCCTCGACCAAAGCCCAAGACTGGGGACACAGTTCGATGCTTTGCAGTTTTCGAATGTCAGGCAGCCATCCCGTGCCCCTGTGGCGAGAGCGATTTTGATGTGATAGCCATGGGTAGCATTTCTGATGATCGCCCTGGTCACTACCATTTGTGGGATGAATGCAATGGCAAAGATGTTTACAAGAAATATGGTTCGGAAATGTACCTCTATGCGTGCCATGGTCATGACCTGACTATAGGGAAGCTGCACTTTGACATGTTCGACCTCAAGGAATACAGTCATTATGGAGCTCCCGTGCTCAAAGCAAGAGGCATCGATCTCTACCTGTTCTATGAGTGGTACAAGCAGTCAGGCAACGATCTTGGGCAAGGACGTTGGATCTTGGGTCAGAAGGCAGGGACCTCAGAACCACCAGAACCGAAAAATGCGAAACAATGGGTGTGGCAGCATTTCAATCATTTGAAACCACCTAACCGTTTGTTGCAGTTGTGTCTCCTGTGACAGTATGAAACATTTTCCTACTGCAACGTATTGTCTTTGTCTTTGTCAGTTCATGCCTTGCGTGTGCATCACTGTACATAGGTTTGTGATGGTTTGTGTATGCGCAGGCGTTTAGGCGCATGGACAGGCTGGCGAGGTGATGGCAGTGCCCTGTGGATTTGTGTTCGTGCGCGTGCACTGTATAATAAGGCTTCTGACCACGAGGATCGTCATGCTTTTGGCGCGCAAGGGGCGTGATCCTTGCGTGCTGTCAGACGAACAAAGTTGCCAAAAACATCCAAAAACTCCAAAAAGCGCAAAAGGGGGACTAGATGACTAGAGTACCTATGGTCACAGCTTTTTCGGCAGCTCTGGAAAATCTATGCTTCATTCTTGCCGTCCGGTACATTGCGCTTCGTCCTGTCCCTTGAGCATTCGCGCTATTCTTTGATAATTATTGGTAAATTTGGGAATATGTTCAATGACTGATGAGTGCCTTTCGGTTCCACACCTTGGGAAATTTTCTTTGCAATTGCGTAGGCCTCTCCTTTGATACTGATTTCGAGTCACCAGCCCAAGAATTTTGAATGAACAAAATAAACTCCCTCGTTCCAACCATCACCACAACTGACAGTCGCCTCTTTCTTTTGTGGCGGTGGCCAGGGAGGGCGTGCCGTTAACCTTGCAGTTGTGAGACTGGACAGCTGAGGTCGCGAAATGCCCGATGGCTACATCCCTTGAGATGAGTGATTTCTTAGGAATGACCGAGATCACCACGATCACATCCTCAGAGGGCTGGCCCCCGTGGCCACCTAACACAACACGGCTTCGGCTGAATGAAGGGCTCAGAGATGTGATTGAAGACGAATTTAAAGATTTGTTTGAATGCGCCGGTCTGCATAGACAAGACAGGCAAGAGTTCAAAATTCGTCATGGAGAGCACATCTGGGCTTTTGGAAGTAACCCCGCTGGCCAAGAGCACATCGCGACCCTGCGGGGTTACAGTGAAGAAGTCCCCCGTGATGGTTGGAAAGGAATCGTGATTGTGAAGCCGGAGGGTCGCCGATTTGCATCCTCTGTGGTGATGGCGAGAAAGTGTAGAGGAGACGGGTTCGAGAGCTTGGAACGAAAGTCCACACGTCCGACCAAGGGATGTTTGGGAACCTCGTCTTCTGGCCTAGGACAGGAGACATGCCACTTTCAATCAGAGGCCATTTTCATTGAGCCCTATGACCCTTCAAATCCTGAGCACCAACTGATGGGAGAGCACAAGAGTCGCGAATGTCCGGAATGCTTCAAGTTGGGCGATCGATGCTCCAAGTTGGCTGCGATGAACAGAGGCAACTGCCAAAGCGTGCTGGAGCTTTGGATGCGTGGACGCATCTTCCATGCAACAGAAGGGGGATTGGAAACAACGATCACTTTTGAAGGCATCCAGGTCCGTGTTTTTTGCTATCCTGATGTCTTTGCATATGAGAAGGATGTTTGGGAGCTAGGGCAAAAAGCTTTGGCCAGCAGCAACAACAAAAACATGTTTGATGCGGCCTTCAGGCTGCTCACTGACAGAACTTTGGGAGATGAGCCAAACAGCTTGGCACATGTCTTGCTTCTCCTGAGCAATGTAACAAAGCCAAAACCCACCAACCTGCAGGCAGAGCTGGTCAAGGAAACGAAAGCATTGAAACAGAAACCTGCAGACCCTGACCCTTTGGAACTGGGAGAGGACACGTGGAAAGCGAGTGCAGCAGTGAATGCTGCAGTATCAGCTGAAGTCGTCAATGTTTTGACACAGACAGTGACTGCTGATGTGGAGCAACAGGGCGAGCATTTGAGGCAGAAGAACGCCATTGCAGAGGTCCTCAAGGAGCAATTTGGCTTCAATTCACAGCAGAAGACCGGAGACCCACATGGCTGGATTACCTTTGCACTGAAGAAGGCGAAGGAGTGGAAAGGATTGGAGGTTGATGAGTGCTACCATGGTACGTCCATGACTGCTTTGGCACCCATTCTGCTCGAGGGTTTGAAGAAACCAAAAAGCAAAGCAGACAGGGCCCATGGACAACATGGGTCAAAGTCTCAGGAGACGATTTACCTCAGCCCGTCATGGCATTATTCTGCTCATCCTGTCTATTCACTCCTGCACATGATGGGCTCCGGGCCAAATGCGTTCCAAATGGTCTTCAAATGTGAGGTGCTACGTGGCCAATATAGAACACAGAGCGCAACCTTCGGAGGCAAACATTGGCCAAAAGAAGTGAGGATCGACCCAGAGCGTGACACTCTGGAGAACTTGGAATATCTTGTAGAGGATGAGGGCACAGTTCGCCTGAAGGAAGTGATGTTCCGAAAATTTGGAAACGGCGCAGACCCAGCTATCTTCGGTGATTTGCCGCCAAAACTTCTCGTGGATGGTCGGCCGAAGTTGGAGTACAGGTGGACTGAGATGTTGCAAGAAGATTTTAAAGCTCGTGGCTTCTACTTGAGTGGCCACCAGCATGCCTAGGATGTACAGCCATCGCTTTATTTCATTTTGGCCGATCCCACAGTTGGATCCACAGTGGCCATATCTACAGCTCACAGATCTTACAGGTTCACAGCGAAAAGCTCCGGCAGTTGCTCACAGCTCAACTTCATCACAGCCAGATCAACCACGGCCCTGAGTTCTGTGTGATGTTTTCTCAGTTTTCTCCATCAATGGCAGGAAGTGGGTGAAAGGGGAAGCGACCGAGGATCAAATTGCAGGTGATTCAGCCAGCGCCTGAATCAATGTCATATGCAGGTGCCCAAAATGGAGCTGTGTTTACCGTGCAAAGCTTTTAGGTCATGTCTTGTGGCAACATTTGTTTAAACGGCACTGTGCACGTCGGTGTGGGGTATCTGATCATTTTGAAAGACATCGGTTTTTGATGAACCCACAATCAACCACAGGACAGCGACTTCGAGTGTGACTCCATGAGCTCCCAGTGTGTTTGTCTCAGTCAGTTGGCCCAGCGCTGCAAGGACAACTCGGATCTTTCTGATCTTTCTGTGAGAAGTGTATATTTAAGGGCTGCCGCCCCTGCCGCCGACCCCGGACAAAAAAAGAGGTTCGCAGGAGAAGAGACGACATATTAACAGCGTCAAAATCGAGCCCAAAAACTCCACTGCTGCTGCTGCTGCTGCTGCTGCTGCTGGTGCGGCTAAACTTGCTTGTCTTTGCTTTACTTCTCCTGCTGCTGCTGCACCTGCTGCGGTAGTAGTCCGAAACAAGAGTCAAAAGTATTATTGCTGCTGCTGCTGCTGCTGCTCCTGCTGCTGGTGCGGCTAAACTTGCTTGTCTTTGCTTTACTTCTCCTGCTGCTGCTGCTGCGCCTGCTGCGGTAGTAGTCCGCCAAAAACTGCCTAACGTCCCTTCTGAAACCCTAGAAAAACAATAGTTTTGGACAAGGTTTTATGGTTTTCGACCAATTTGTATACCACTGTTTCTACAATGAGACATAGAACCCTCCTGTTGCTCCTGTTGCTGCTGCTGCTCTTCCTCCTCGAGGCTGAAAACACACCCTCCCGGACAGGGAAACACAGTGGCCCTGAAGGACGGAACAGCGCCAAAATCGAGCCCAAAAACTCCCTAACGTCCCTTCTGAAACCCTAGAAAAACAATAGTTTTGGACAAGGTTTTGTGGTTTTCGACCAATTTTTATACCACTGTTTCTACAATGAGACATAGAACCCTCCTGTTGCTGCTGCTGCTGCTCTTCCTCCCGAGGCTGAAAACGCACCCTCCCGGACAGGGAAACACAGTGGCCCTGAAGGACGGAACAGCGCCAAAATCGAGCCCAAAAACTGCCTAACGTCCCTTCTGAAACCCTAGAAAAACAATAGTTTTGGACAAGGTTTTATGGTTTTCGACCAATTTTTATACCACTGTTTCTACAATGAGACATAGAACCCTCCTGTTGCTGCTGCTGCTCTTCCTCCCGAGGCTGAAAAAACGCACCCTCCCAGACAGGGAAACACAGTGGCCCTGGAGGACGGAACAGCGCCAAATCGAGCCCAAAAACTCCCTAACGTCCCTTCTGAAACCCTAGAAAAACAATAGTTTTGGACAAGGTTTTATGGTTTTCGACCAATTTTTATACCACTATTTCTACAATGAGACATAGAACCCTCCTGTTGCTCCTGTTGCTGCTGCTGCTCTTCCTCCCGAGGCTGAAAACGCACCCTGCCGGACGGGGAAACACAGTGGCCCTGAAGGACGGAACAGCGCCAAAATCGAGCCCAAAAAGTGCCTAACGTCCCTTCTGAAACCCTAGAAAAACAATAGTTTTGGACAAGGTTTTATAGTTTTATAGTTTTCGACCAATTTTTATACCACTGTTTGTACAATGAGGCATAGAACCCTCCTGTTGCTCCGTTGAGGCTGATGCTCTTCTCCCGAGGCTGAAAACGCACCTTCCGGACAGGGAAACAACAGTGCCCTGAGGGACGGAACAG